TTACGACGTGTTAGTGTAAGAATCGACAATAATAATGCATTCAATGGGGTTTATATACAGAAAATGTGGGCGGTCCTCAGATACCGTGTCGCCGCTGGACCGTGGGGGGCCAGTGGCGGTACTCAAGCTCGGGGGATGAAAGGGTGGACCGCGCCAACAGCAATATTTAAGTTACCTACTTGATTGCACACTTATGATACCGCTAGGTCATGCCTGCGGTATCATTTCAAGAGATACTCATCTATAGAACGTCCTAAGGTAAATAGTTTGAACTAGCACGTTATCATTCACTTATATGAATCCTAGCTCTAGTAGAAATATATAGGTTGTGTATCCACAACACTGGGGTGGTCATAAAAAAAATCCCGAGTCCCTTGGGGCGAAAGGTCGAAGAGGCTCACTTCTGTGTTTTGCTTAACGCGGGGTCCGGATTATCGGACTGCCCCTATTTCCGTTACTTCGACGGCAACAGAGTCGTATGGAAATCTGTCTATACCAAGTTTTGGTGTGACACACACTAAGTGCGTCAGATCATCCCATTACAAGCTTGGAAACTTTTCCTGGACCTTCTTTCGTAATTAGTGGGCGAGCGTTGCCGACATAAAGTAAAAATGCTCAGATTTTCGGGCACCGTGCCAGGGAACCGATTCACTTGCCAACATTATTGTTCACCAATAGCAGTGGACTTCGTTGGCAGCAGCTCTCCGTGAGCGAAACATTTGCAGCCTCATGAGCTTTCAAAATGTTGCCTCCCAGGTTGCAGTTCTCAAATCGGCGTTGCAATCCTTTGTTCTACGCATCCGAGCCAGTCGTGCTTTCGCGTGCGGTTTATCTGAGGATCCCACTTCTTGTTACCACCAACAAAGTTGGCGGATCAAGCGAGAGACGGGCGGCAAATCAAAATGTCCATGCAAAATTTTATGGTCTCAATAGCCTGTGGTCAGTCAGATCACAAAATATCCTTTCGCCATAATTTCACTTCTTTTAGAGGCGATATTGAGGAACGGCCATTGTGGTCTGATAGCACTGAAAGAGCTCCGCCAATTACCGTGCATTGCACTAAGGACTCCTCCAATCGAATTCAGAATACACTCGTCAATGAGGGTGGCAGGCCGACCAGATTTGTGGTTTTTTCAAGTATCTGGACTTCGGCAACCAAATAATTGGCATGTTGTGAAAGATAGTCTGGAGGTCCATCACAACACGTAGGCCTCCTACTGCTCGCTTCAATCGACGCACTTTGTGGGCTTATAAAGGCAGGAGCAGTCGAACATACCTTCAGTGAAAGACGATTTTTAAGCTTCAAACGCTGCGAAATGCTACGACAGAAATGCTGTGGAGAGAGCATTAACCACCGCTCACATGCGTTTAACAGTGAATGTTTCAAAACGATCCAAAAGATTTTGCAAGATGAAAAAGAAAATGCGCAAAGACTTTTCCGACAACTTAATGTTTTAAAGTATTACTTTTTCTCCCTAAAACATCTCCACTACATTTAGGCAGATTCACCAGTGGCGTATGATGAATTTCAAATAATCATCTCACCCTCACCTTAATCGTTGACGACGGGATGATGGGGCATCTACAACTGCTACACAGCCAGAATTGGCAAAATTTTCCCAACCTTCCGAAAAACTCCTTTACCCATATGCTCCGACAGCATTCCCCCATCTCATGAAACATGCGGTAACCGACAGATGTCAGTGACGTACCCGACAGACAGAAGTTCCGTAGCGTGGCGAGAAGGTAGAGACGCAGACGGGTCAGCGGACGAGTCGCAGCGCGTACTGTAGTGATTTAGCGTCAAGTTAAAAAAATGTACTATAGTACGTCCCACATCGCATAACACGTTGCTACTCGTCGATGACTCGTCTGCGTCTCTGCCCTTCTTGCCGCGCGACGGGCCTCTTGCCGGGCACCCTGGAAATGACTCCCCTTTCTGGCCTTGGGACTCAAAAACCAAAATGTGTCTAGAAAAGGCGCTAGAAATAATGCACGAGTTAACGAGTCAACATATATAGTACACTATACTAGCGCACAAAACACTTTATTTCACTACACAATAAAATCTGATCTGCTTCAACCATCCGCACATAGTGTGAGTTGTTGGTTCATTTTTCAGCATGAACACCGAAAGACCGTACAGCGGTAAGCAATCTATCATGGAATTGGTATGACAAAGAACAAGATGGGAATGACTGGAGAAACGACCTAGGAGTGAATTTTTTTTCAAAATAGGAAAGTGCGTGCTCAATCTCTCGCAGTACTTTGATCATATGTCAGTGATACACGAAGATAATCGTGGATAGAAAAAAGGATTGATGGAGAGGAAAGCTTCAATGTTGTGAGGTGAAAAGGTTCTTACATGATCACCTGTGAAGGAAAAGATATGAGTAACAATAGGTAACAAAGAAGTTTCCACCCAAGTGTTCCTTTTCATTTATAATTTCTATAGATAACCTTGAATAAACCTGGCAAATAGTATTAGCCCGAAGAAACTTGGAGTTACTACAAAAGAGTACATGGCGAGCGATCATATAGTAGACTCATACATATAAAATGTATAGGGAAAGAAACCGGTTAACCCGCCTGCCTATTTTACCGAACCAGTGGGAGAGACTAGGTCGTAGGAACGTCATGTGAACTAGATTTGAAGAATAGATGTAAAATTTTATGCGAGGAGCTGTGCAACACCAGAATAGAGCATGACGAAGTGTGTACCCATTATAACGAAGGTGGAACAGTAGGACGCTTCTAATCCTGCTATCTGGGACAATGTAAAAGAATAATATATTGTTCAGAGAAGTATAATATGTCGTTCGGCTGAGGAGATAATAGGAATATGAGTACAAGGTCTATTTCGAACCCAATAGGACATCAACAAGGTGAGCCTGCAGGCGCGCCACAAAGGCAAGGTTGGGGATCAGTGGAAAATCGGTCGAGGACTCGTCAACGGCTCGTCGAGGATTTTCGCCTGATCAGTCACGCTCTCTCGCGCGGACATTCACTCTCGCCACCCGCGAGCCGTCTGTGCTCTCCGCGCGTACATTCACTCTCGGCACTACTCTCGCACAGTAGAGAGCCATGGTCGAGGTTTCCTACCGTTATTCACTCTATTCAGGATTCTGGACGAAATGAAGCGCTTGCACGAGAAATATGGGGTGAAACGCAAGTGCAGAGCATTTACCCACTTGGCACCATGGTTTACCAAGGCTGAGGAGCTCACAATACGGCCCAAGACTTAACCACGTGCTCCGCCCACTACCATACGCTCCGCCCGCAAATCAACGCGATTTCGCTTCGCCGCTACTGGAAAGGAGAACTTTACCCCCGACTTTACCAATACCTTCTTCCCGTTTTTTCATCAGTAATATTACACTTCACATCTTCATTGTCACTTACAAGCTCAATAATACATCAGTTCAATCCCGGACTTTGCCTTTAAAGGAATCTTCCGCGGAAAAAGCTCCGCCTCCATTACCACAGAAAAACGATACCCCTTAGGCCCCTAGCCTCATGAGCATAGCAAAAAGAACGGAACATAAGCGTTAGTTTCGATAATACTAATCCTACACACAAGACAAAATGATCACTCTTTCCGTGGAAGATTCCTTTAAGGTATCGTTTTCTGTGGTAATGAGGGCGGAGCTTTTTCCGTGGAGGATTCCTTTAAGCTCTTTCCCAGATGTCCCTACAGTACGAAATGACTTCGGCGCTTCTGTGAAACTTGATATGAACGAGGCATTTCATCTCGCGTCCTAATCAACTTCTAGATCGTCATTTCGAAACAACCCAGCCAGGACTTGGTGGCTCACGTGGAAGAAGTCGCACAAGGTGAACCTACGCACTTCCAGTCTCCAGCGTCACGACTGGTCACCTACAGACAGACTTGCATGAATAGTGAGACCTGATCGAGAGAACGTGTCAAATTACTGCACACCAACAGTACAGGGGCTATACTATCGTGGGCACTATGGAAATGCCTAGGTTGTTCGGAATGACTATTCGAGTCTCCAGCAGCCGTGTATGACAGAAAACGAGAGTGTTGCTAACGGAAGAGTGCCGAACAAGAGTCTCGTCGCGCGGCGAGAAGACAGAGACGCAGATTTGTCGGTGTAGGAGCTGCAACGCGTGCCGATGTGGGACACACTATAACACATTCTATTGAACTTGATGAGAAATCAATGTAGTAATTGCTGCGAGTCGTCCGCTGACCCGTCTGCGTATAGCCTTCTCGCCGCTCGACGGGCCTCCTGTCGGGTACCCCAATGGAATGACAGAAAAACGGCTTGGAATGGCTACAGCTGAGAATCACTCATGACCGGGAACGTGATGAGAACCAGTGAAAACGTGGAACGGAATGAAGGGGAGCTTACTTAGTAAGTACGAGAAGAACAGGAACACTGTTAAACTAGGTGTACAAACACTTAATCTATATACATTCCTAGTTATGAGCGTCGATGTAGTAGCAGTATAGGAAGATATCGCCTCTGTTTACGAGCGCGTAACTAGAAGAATGTAGTGAAACATCAGCGTGCAAGTTAACACAATTACAAATTCTTAGAAATCGTTTTTCCTTGGCATAATGCCAGCAATTCGAGCTCAATAAAGCTGATACTATTTCGACAAGTGAATTGCCCGTGGAATTTGTGTTTTTCAATTTTTTCGCGATGTGTTTTCAAATTACCACACAATAAATATCACCTAAAATTGTGGCTAATATGCCCATTGTGAATGAAAAGAGAACTAGACCGACCCTCTCAATGAACAAAAATGTAATATTGCCATCCGGACTTATGGTGAGCGCCATTTTCATGAGGATGGCAGTGTCGCGACCATAGCGCGTCACGACGACACACGGATACGTACTCTATCCACACAAAAGCGAAATTCAATTCAATGGAATGTCTTTGATGATATATCGATGATGATTACGTTGGAAGTTGACTGAATAGGGCAGGAGCAGTATTTGGAGCAAGCAAACACAAAAAGCATCATCATCAGAGGAATGCGTCACCCTCCTCGTCAGAATCGCCGAGCGCTTCAGGCGTCGATTTGCCATGGGCGGCGTCCAACGACGACGGTACACCCAATGGACCACACGGTGAGCCTTCACTGGCCACAGCTCGAACCTGTGACGACGTTGCACCACGACGACTTTTCTTCGCTTTCTTGAGCATTTGCGCCTAAAAAGCCACAGTTAGCACACTCGAGCAAAGCGTGCTCACAGTAAGCTTTAATTCACATGTTCATACATATCACGACGTCATGTGATCAACGGAATCGACATCGGTTGAGGTGATGATCTGCTCAGGAAGCACACACCCCAAACAGCCGAGCATTTCCGTCGACATCGTCATACATGACGTACAACGAACCTTGTCGATGAGCACGAACACCACCAATACGAGTTTCACTCACGACAAAACAATTTGCATTGATAATACGACAACATATAGTAGCGTTCGGTTCATCCGGTTATGTATGTACAATGTTATCTACAGAAGGAATACGGTAAATAAAAAGTAGAGCTAACCTTTAACGCGGATTTCAGGATAGTAATGGTACCCGGAGGCTGTATGTGAGGCTCGCCGTCTACTTGCACAGGCCATTCTTCATGTGTAGTTATGCGAATCTGTAACAACCACCATTCTTCATAAACCGAATATAAAAAACATGACGCTATCGCAAGACACGGAGGCATATTCCAGGACTAAGCCGAGGAGGAGGAGTAACTCCGGGGAGAATGAGAGTTGTTCACACACCCTAGAGTCTCTTCTCCCTCGCTTCGGCCGATGTCAGACTTTGCGAATGCGAACCGCTCAATTGGCTGGTACCGCAACGCGACCGCAGACGCTAGCGAATCGCCCGATTCGCAAAGTCTGTCATCGGCCTTGGTCCCGGTTTCAGCAAAAGGGTGTTGTTTTGCGTGATTTTACATGCAATGCAAATACAATGTCTCCTATCTTGTGATAGTGCTATAAAAAACAATTCAATAATGGATTATTTTCGTACACTTCCTCCTTGAGCAATGCGGGTACCAGCGGCTAGTTTCGACTGTATGAGACCCAAACGTGAGACGTCAGAAATGCCAACCACCTGAATAAAGGAGACAATTATTAGGTTATTTTGGTATTCGAATAAAAAAGTCATACCTCCAGAAGACCGTCGTAATGTGTCGGTTTTTGGAATGGGCTTTCTTCTTTGGCAGTACCCCAGGGATTAGCACCGCTTCCCCAACTCAACAGATTCAGAACGACTATGCCTTCAATGTTCGGTAGTTCAACAGGTTTGCCATCAACCTGAAAAAGAAATTAATTTGGACAAAGCAAGAGTACCAAGATGACGGTATTATTTCCCTTTCAATGCCCTTCTTCCAAAAATTGAGTAGGGCTGCAACCGAAACTTGTCCATAACTAAGGGTTTGGCGAGGAGCGAGCCTTCGAGGGTATTCCAACCCACAGAACTCGAATATGTGTGGAAACTTCAGGCGCCGGCGCTGTCACATTAGGTTTGCGCCGACGCCCGTGCGCAGGTTACAAGTTCCCTCGCAACAAACTAATATGATATCATGTTCTACAGGTCAAACAAAGAGTCAGCGGACGATAGCAGAGCATTTTGTGCGTTATGTTGTGTAGTAAAGCACGTTCTTTTCAACATGATGCTAAATCGCTACAGTACGCGCTGTGATTCGTCCACTGACAGTCTGCTCGGCCTTCTCGCCGAGCGACAAGCCTCATATCGGGCACCTTTTTGTAAAAATTGTTTTTCTGCTGGCATGCGTGTTTTTCACTTGACATTGTATATATTCTATATTGATTTGAGATAATTTCGTTCTTCATGTGACATGCCCTGTTAAAATAGCAGTTTCCAAAGCTCAAACTGCCAATACATTTATTTGCAAAAAAGGAAGGGAAATATCGCGAATAAAGGAGAACGAAGCTGGTCCCAGATCATGAAGACCACGAGACCGCGATCTGTAAGCAAGTGAAGTGAGGTATATGTGGCCATTCACCATCATAGCACGCATTTCGCAGGCGCTCCCATTGTGGATGACATAGACCTGCTCATCAGGAGGGTCAAGCGTCCGTTGTCCCTGCGAGCCAAGGAGCCTCACCACGATTCCTCATCACCATCACCTGCCTTGAAGCAATCCCGCTCCCACCTACGACCCCGACCCCCCTCCCACCTATACCATAACCTTTGTCACCATTGCTGTTTTTATTGCATAGGATTCTGAGACCAGTCAACACAATCCAAACCTGTTCTAAACTTCCCTCAAGATCTGCCGCCGAGCGGAGGAAAGGGAAAGGGAGTATCAGGCCAGGACCAATGAACGACGAGGGTGCTCCACACATTACTAAATCTGCAAAAAAAAAACGCAAAACGACCCTTCTTCCCTTAGTTCACCACAACAAGAGAGTATGACCCCTGCCCTCCCCCTGAACATGAAGCAAGGGTCAGCGACCCCGCTCGCCAACTGGCAATGCGCGCAGCGTGAACATTAGCTTTAGCATAGTGAAAAATTGTTACCTCGACTTCAATGCGCTTCCACAGATCTTTGCAGGACCTTTCGAAGAACATCTTTCGTAAGCCTATTTTTGCATACTGCGTCTTGTTGAACAACCGGGATTGGAACTTTTCCGGATTAGCGTCACGCTAAATAGAAACTTGTGCATATGTGGAAAACCGTCGGGACGATGCTAAAGCTTGATAGGAGCACAATGAGACAGGAGTTATAAGTGTTGCGCTATTGTCGACCAGTGGAACGATTGAGGTGCTTGGAATTGATGAAAATTTGCTATACTGGCAGCACAAAACCGTGAGCAGACGAGTTACGTTGAAGTTGCCATCAAGAGGAAAAGTACCAGCAAGGTAAAAATTTAGGCTACTAAGTTCTTTTACTTTCAAGTTCTAGTGATGTTCTGCCTCGCTCCTTGGCGACAGTCATCAAGGTGAGCCGGTAACACTCTTCGCATTGACCGAAACCGACTGAGGGGATGAGTCAATGCGAGTTGCCCTCGAACTGTTACCTCGAACTGTTAAAAGCTTCGAAGGATGGATCTCAAAGTTTTCGACGGCTTCAAGCTCTGTAGAAGGCGAAGAAAGCCGAATCACCAGCTTGTTAAGTATTACATTCTTGGGTTTCAATAAACTATTGATGCATTGAACCTTCAATCCTAAAATCAAAAGAAAGCCTATCGTGGACTATATCACCCAAGCGATATAAACTAAGGTGGGCGAGAAAAACGAGGCAGGTGTGCTTTGATAAAAGGAAAAAAAAGAATGAGCTAACGAAACGATGCTTTATCAACCTTGTGAGCAATGAAAAAAATATTTACCTTATTGTGGAATTTTAAGCACACATCCGCGTCAATACCAATTCCGAAATAGTTGTTCATAATGATCATGCTTGTCTGGTCCTCGGGATTGCTCATCGTTTGATCCGTTTCAGCTGGATTTGCAGCAGACGCCTGAAGCAACCCAATCATACGTTCAGCAAGAAGCGAGCTATAACTATTTCCGAAGGTAGCGTTCAGATGGTGGAGGGCGGCGCCTTGATGACGTCGTTGGACGTTATTGGTGGATTAGACCCCCCCCCTTTTTTTTAATCTGCTCCTACCCCCGGCAGTACCAATATGGGTGAATAACGGTCAAGGAATTCCTCGACCATGGCTCTACTGTGCGAGAGTAGTGCCGAGAGTGAACGTACGCGCGGAGAGCACAGACGGCTCGCGCATGGCGAGTGTGAATGTCCGCGCGGAGAGCGTAACTGATCAGGCGAAAATCCTCGACAAGCCGTTGAGGAATCTTCGACCGATATTCACTTTGTACTAATGTCTCTTATTGGGCAGAAAACGCACAGTGAAATATAAACCTCAAGGCGTATGTTTCATATACTAAGGCATTTCATCGTCTTTAGCAGAAGTCTGTGGCAACATGACTTCAATGAACTATTAGGTTGTGAAGAAAGTTCTTGCGCTTTTCGGTGTTTCGTTTTTGAACGCTTTATTTTGTTACGAATTCAAGCAAGCTGCCAATGAGCTGTATGTGGTTTTGAAGAGCTTTTCTTGTTCTATCTAACAGCTAGGCTAGCTATGTTCCTTATTATTTAGTTGTCATTTTTTGAAGCCTTGAATACGGCATACTCCAAGAGCAAATTTGCATGATTTCCTTTTTCTAGCTCAAAGCAGGCCAGTATGGAGAGGAAGCAGGTCAAGATATTATAGACGCACTTGGCTGAGATTCGCAATAAATATGGTCTGAAGCAATTGTTCAAAAAGCTTTTGTAAGAATAGCGAGAGCCCTAAAGATTGTGAGGGTGGTGATCGGAGATTGGACAACGCCAACGATTAGTCGAACGTTCTGGTTGAAGCACGTTTGCACAAATCTATTGAGAGGGTTCCTCCTAAACTAATCGCACTTGCATTGTGTTTTCTTGTTGTACGGGAAGAGCTGGAAAGTCCCAAAAATTCAAATAGGGCGTGCCGCGACAGCTCACCATTTTGAAGGGTCGTTCGCCGCGTTCTAGCTTGTTTCATGCCATGAAAACGACCTGACTTTTTGATCATTTGCGACGCACGACAAAGAGCGGATTTTTTGCTACAGAATACGGTTCTTTGGTGAAGTGATCGGACCGCGATCAGGCTCTACAAACTTTGCAAAAGTGAAACTTCACTGAAGGAAGGTTGAGGTGACTTTCATAAGGTCAGCGGCTGGTCTAGCTTTTCGTAACCAGGTGGATCTGTTAATGTGGAAAAAGTACTCCTGATAATGTGTCAAAATTACTCCTAGAACTCTGGCACATATGCTCGAAATTCCTCATTATAAAGGAACCGGCTCGTCCCTGAAGGGTAGCTCGGACGCACATTCCACAACCAACCCTGCAGAAGTTGGACAAGATTGGCTACGAATTAGTCCTGCGAACATCCTACTCGGTAGACCTTTTGCCTATAATTTGTCACTTTCTCGACTACCTGGATAGCTTCTCCAAAGAGTTATGCTTCAAAAACCAACATGATGCGGAAACGACCTCGCCGGGTTCATCGTCTCTAGAGCTCCAGTATTCTGCACTACCGGGCTGATTCAACGCAGCTATTATTGGCAGAGGTTTGTGGATTCTAACAGTCTTTACTCCAATCAAAAAGGTTTCGAATGAGCCGAGATACAGGCATTTGAAAATCAAGGTCGAAAAGCGCAAGAACTTTCTTCACGACCTAATACTTTTAGAATGCCATGGCATTATGTATGGAGCTCCCTTGACTAATGTCCAGCTATTAAAAAAATCATCCTCATGCTTCCTCCCTTTCTCAATTCATCATCATCGCATTATAGGCCTTAACGGGCGAACTATCTCCGAAATTGGTCCTGTCCAGCGGAGAGCTTTAAAGCAACAGTCCAGGCAGGGTTTCAACTACTTGGTCATTAGGCGGTCAAAACATGCCCCAGCCCAACTAAAGTTTATAGGAAATGTCTTTAATTTCAAAACCTACCTCTAAAATGCGCTGGAAGGGGTCGAAGTCCTCTTGGAGGGGGCGGATCACCCATAAAGAGGCGGATCGCCCAACATTCGCTGTGCAGAGCGCTTGCTCGACTAGCGGTCGTTGCGGGACCGCCGCGCTGTATGAGGTCGATTCCATAAGAACGCAATTGAAGCGCTTCAATTTCGATTGCTGGCAAATAGTTATGTATTTGCAAGCATGCATGGCTATTTGCCAGCAGTCAACTGGAGCGCATGTACTACGGGCAGGTTCGGACAACTCGTCCAACACACATCTCCCTAAACGGCAGGGGGAGTCCCTGTCTAAGCCCCTGCCCGACGTTTTTTTCTACTTTTTCTTTCTCCATTGACCAACTTCTCACCTGCAACGTCATTATAGGTGGTCCTTACCCGCGAATTCGTTCCTGGATTGTTGCTTTAAGTTGTAAAAGTGAATAAATGATCTATACTAATGGATGGCTGAGGGCAGGGTATAGGATCACTAATATGTACCTGATTTGGAGGCTGACTGCGTTCTTCCTCATGAAAAACTACTGCCCATCTATCCAGCCGTACTTCATCAGCTTCTATGACGTCCTACAATAAATGCGTTGAAAAACTTATATCGCCCTGGCAATACGCAACATAAATGAAATTAAAACGTACCTTGAGAATGTCTAGTGGATTCTCCTCTCCAGTGTATCCACCACCCCAGCGCAGAACTCTGGCGAGATCATTTCCTGTTCCCAATGGAACAATACCACATGGAGGAGAGAAACAGGCAGCATCCTGAACATTTTTTATTTTGAACACATATGTATGTACTCGCCTAAAGTGGAAATCTGGTTAGACTTAATCGCGCTTGCTATATGGAAGGCCCGTGTGCTTGAAGGCCGGTCATTAAATTAGTGTGTAAGTCACGATGCGACTTCGCGCAAATCTGCGATGTTTGGCGCGCGGTAAACTTGCGCGGGTATTGAGTATAACAACCTCTGCTTTACTCGGCGAGTGGCGGACTTACGCGGCATGACGCGAAAACACCCATTTGAGCGGAAGGCAGTTGAAACAGAAACAAATTTCGAATTCAAAATTCAAGGATACCAATCCATTAACACATTGCGTACCGCGTGCGCCACCATGTGGCGCACGATTTCGCACGAAACAGCATAGTATGATCTGATTTATTCGGCACTTTTCAATGCTCCTGAACTGTTTGCACACATTTTCAGAGCGGAAACCATACGTGTCATCACTGATAAAATTGTTGATAGATTAATGGTGATACATTTTTGAAAAATATAAAAAAGAGACGGAAAGATAACTCCTAAGCAACGGGGTCGTCATTTGTTAAAAGTGCTCAAAGTACATGTTTGCACCGTTAATAGCCGGAATGGTTGAAATTTTTCGAATAAGTTTCACTTCAAATGTTTTTGAAACTGAGAGTGATTTTCGCTTCAGGTAGAAAAAAAGTACTGTAATCATTATTTAGTCAAATAAACCATCTACAGTAGCGTATT